TTGTGGGGTTTTCAAACACTCTTGTATTTCTGTGCACAAGAGGCATCATCAAATTGATAATGACCACTGCACAAGCAAGGGTAATAGCTGTTTGGTTTGTTTCAATAATTAACCTGTAAGGAGGCGCACAAACAAAAAAAGCTTCTTGAAAGAGCGTTGGAATGCAGATGAAGTATAATACTCAAGGATCTCTGGCGCCATTTGCTACCATGCGAGGTGTGTAATTACCGAAGAAAGGGTTCATCTCATGTAATCTTCTATAGTCCTTTGTTCGGTTGTCAGTCGATCGCGCCATTCACAATGCAGTATAAAGACGGGTTGCGAAAAATATAATTTAAACAGAGAAAGAAATGTTCATTCAAACCACACATGAATGACTTTTCTTTCGATTACATGAAAATCAAACAATGCTATGTAAATCATCATATAAAATACTTACCAAGGCAACGGATGAAACGTAAAGTCGTTTTTCAAGCAATGAATGATTTGTATGAAGTGTTAATGATTTGTATTGAATGGCTCGCGAATAAGGTTTTTATTTCACTTTGACGTGTTCACCTATCTACTGTTATGATGAGTTACGTACAAAATGATGATCATGCAGTTAAGCATCCATCATTCCTTTTACTCGTTTTGCTGTCGTTTAACGATTATATTATTTGACTTAAGGTTTTTTGTGACAAGGGTTTAGTTACCCTGTCTCAATCTTCAGAAACACCTCCACGTATTTTACATCAGGACCATCAACAAACATATATCACTTTTTACTACAACATTAATGTCAATCACAATCAAGTTGGATACGACAGAAGAACCGCTCTATACGTTGTCAATGAATGATCAGTCGTATACAATGAATGCATGGAAGGTGTTGCTTCTATAAGATGTTATTTCAATTTAATAATAATAAGAATAACGTATATTTACGGAAATGGCATGCATTAGGCCCATGCTATTATGTTTTACATTTTGGTCACTAGGCATGAACACTTTTTTAACAGAGCAAGGTGAACACACAGATCAATATTATGGAGTAGCTTGCCATTTCTTGTGGACATTAATATACAAAATAGAGGAATATACGTTTGTCTTAATTCATAACAATGGTTATATATAAGCAAAAGTGACATCTATCGTATACACCCTTTAGAATACAATCTGTGCAGATGTACGTTGTTCCTTGGAATTTACTTTTATAAAACATTAGTTCGTAGTTTCCCGATTGGAACTGAACACGGGATTAACGGACTCTCTTTCCACTCACTAATGACAAACAATCTTCACATACGGAGTGCTGCTCAACAGAGAGTAGGTACTTGAAAATAAGTCATTTTGCAATTATTTTTTATGCCATGTGTGTTGGAAGCAATGCCTTTTTCCCTGTAACCTGTAACGCTAACAATTTATACTTCTTATATTTGCTTCCCCATGTCTCGTCCACGCGTTCCCTAAAACCAGACTTGAGTAGCATGTTGATCCAGATGATAATGCATTTCATACTATTTTGATGTGTATCACGTGTCAGGGACAACGATTAAGTGATGCCAACTTCAAGCTAGTAACAGAATATCGTTAAGGAGAAGTGACATTATAAACGTTTTATCAGCTGCATCTTCAATACAAGAGATGCATGTTCTCAGAGGCATCCTTCTTCTAACAGACTAAGGGCAGCGGGCCCATTTACACACGTATATGTGGAAATGTGGAAAAACTATCAAATAGTTTGACTGAGTTTATAACCACATATTGACAGAAGAAGCATTCTGCACATTTATCGGTTGACATCTGTTGATCGATCAAGTTTGTGTCATTCAATGGAACATATACTGAATAAATAATGCATAAACGCTGAAATAATATAAGTTAACCTGGTCATTAAGAATTGAACTAGCTATTCCAATCACGGGTTTTATTTACAAACCTCACAAAATACAACTTGTAGGCGACTTCTTGCTTCCTGAATTTCAACACTTCGATGGAGAAACATCGAACATTCATATCCTGTTTCTGGTGTGTGAATGATCGAAGAGAACAGAACTGATCTTAAGGTTTTCGTATAATTTCAGTGAGTTTTTTCTCCTAATGGATACATTGATTTAATTTTTTTTTTAATTCTAAAGGCTATTTTAGGCTATTACAGAAAGCTAAAGTAAGCTAGTTTTATGACAAATATGATACCTAGGAATGTGTCCTGTTGTTTTTTGGATATGTATGACGTTTCTACACTGGCATGTCATAGAAAAGTCATAAATAGCCCACTGTGTTGCAAAACGAATATAATTGGGTAAAGTTATTCTTTACCCATAAGCAGCAAAACCTCTGCACTTGTATGCAGCAGATGTAATTAACCTATTAAAGTAACCTATCGTTTTCATTAGTTTAAAAAACCAGTCACTTGATTGTTTGGTCCATTTATCACTTGACGGTCTGGTTTGTTTACGGGCCGCCGTCGAATGGCAGGAGCAGTGCTGCGCGGCGTCAGGCAATGAATACTTACGATTTGTATGCAAATTTTGTGAATGTCGGGAGCTACCGGTAAGGCAGGACATGCTTATCATTTTCGCCAACACCTGGTGTCATCACTGATTTTCAGTGGTCCATTCATATAATCTGCACAGCTATTTTGCCCTTTACGCCAAATTTTAACCTAGACTTGCATTGACAATTTATATTTTCTACGATATCATGTTAACATGTTTAAATATAACGCAAGGTTATTGCGAATGTTTGGAACTCAAGATTCTTTTATGCCCGCATGTCGGCCTTTAAATACTACAGCATCCTTTGGTCGATGACCACTCCATGTCAACCATGCAGCCCAATAGAAGTATATCAGAGATCCTTCATTGTGTCGAGGTACATTCATATAAAATGATCATGGTATTGTACACTCATTGTCGTAAGAGGCGAATAACGGGACTTCATTGATGCATGTCATCGTTTCCCAATTTCGTGGATTGATGCTCGTGGTGTCCATCACTGGGTTGTCTTGTCCAGACACGATTATTTACAGACCGCCGTCATATAGCTTGAATATGGCTGAGTGCGGCGTTAAATAACAAAAAAATTTATCCGGCGATGACAAATGGTTAGTGTAATAGCAATGTACTTCGGACAATATGAATTCAACAGGAACAGATACGTATACATCATGAATCCTTTCTATGAAATGTGTGTTATTCATATTCACAGAAAAAAACAATATCGCAATAAACATGAAATGCAACCATTTTTTAACCATTTTAAAACAGTTCAGTGTAAGCACGTGGAGTGCTTTGAACTAGATACAATTGCGATGTCACGATAATTATTACAGATCACAGTGTATAAATTCTTGACACGATATTGTGCTTCAATGCGAAAAAACAGTTCATGACCTATTCCTCCGTTTTTATTCTACTACCATGACAGTTGTTTTTATTTCTTTGAGCATAGAGTCATTTCACCATCAGTGTGTGGGTTTAATGATATGTAATATCATATAGTTAACGAATGTGATGCGTGTGTTTATTGAGTTCTACAGAAATACCACATTCTGTAAAAATGCAAAAGTATCTACTTTCCGTGAACATGATCGATGTTTTCATTTTTCTGTTGATTGCAGATCACTGGGTATTAAAAAGTGCCCAAATGCATATTTGCTGACTGCATGTCATTTTAATCAATGTTAGAGTAATGATCTTGTCGTAGTCTTGGCAAATAGCAACGTAATTGAAAGATTAATTGACATTTTCTCTTGGTGGAAGTTACATTGAATAGTAACGCTCAGATGTTACTACTTCAAATCGCATGACGTTTTCGTTAATTTGTGCAAAGCTTCAGAAGATAGTTTTGTCAATCAAAATGAAAGTCTGTAGCCAAATAAAATAATAGGAGACCGTTCCTGTTAAGAAAATTGCCACACAGACATTTTTAGAAACAAACGAGAAGTAACCAAATTTTAATTGACAGAAAAATGTTAATATATATCTTTTTCTATCCGTTATCATCCTGGTTGTAGAGGTCTGTAAACAACTAACATTAATTTAGGTGATTTATTGAAAACTATGGTCTTAGACATCCATCATTTTCTTCAAGGGAGGAAAATTCAGGAGTATAAGTATAATGCTCTAGTCACCTTCAGGCAACCAGGAAGTGATTAAAGGATTGCTTTGTGGCCAAATATGTGAGTGATCCGTTATAACGCAACCTTGGACAGTATTCCAGTCATATCACGACGAGACAGATGTTTGTGGGAGAAACGCCTGAAGGGTCACACTGTAGACGTTACCACTTTAGTGAAACCAACAAAGACAGGTACTTTATTGACAAACCAATACTCCGTGAAGTACCCACTGGCCAGCGGTTCCTTTCACGACGAAGGGACGCAAATCTGTACTATGAAATGTAGCTCCTCAGGCCACTGGACTACCTAATTTAGATCACAGAGATCACAGGGTAAAATCACTGAAGCAGATCGAATTAAGTTCAGGAATTTCAAGTCGATATGATGAATATATTTCACCATATATGTACACTTTAGGGAAATATCAAACAACTACGCATTTCGCCTGGAAACAAGTGTTGACTCTTTATGCAGATATACATAACATTATAGATGTCAGTAGCATTTTTTGTAGAGTTTCGGCTCAATGGACAAATTACGGATGATCATACCGTCTGCTACAAACACCAATGTAGCTGAAGTAAGTATATACGTGAATATTGGAATTATGGTGGACAACTCATATCAAAGATATCACGACATTGATCATGTCTGAGGTCATGGTGGTGACTTTGTTAATCTGTTTCAAACAAGATATATTTGGCAGTTTTGTCACATTTCGTAATTCTCTGATTTTGTTATGTTGTATACATGTTTTATCAACTGCTATTCATGATCACAGCGGATCCAAACAATTGTTCTGTGCATGACCGTAATTTACAGATTTATCTTTTACCTTCAAGTCTCTGCCGACTTTGACAGCGAAGGATAATCAAAGAGATTCAAACTGACGTACCTTCTGTGAAGTCATATGATTATGCGATGAGGTTCCATCTTCTAAGCTACCGGCTCAACGTGTAGGAGTTATAGAGGAGCAGATAGTGAGATACGGAGAAGCAGTACGGTATTAAGAACAGCTGCCAGGTTACTGATTGGAAAAATTACCACAAATAAAAGACTGTGTAAAGCTATAGCTGAACAAAAGTTATCCATATTCAGAACGGAATCAAATCTATCATGAAGATCGAAAAAAGCAAATCCACACTTTTGCACTTTATAGACCGTCAAGACAAATTGTCATCCAACGTTTCCGTATTTAAAGTCCACAGGAAATGATGTGACACGATACCAACACGCTGATGATGCGCAATCAATACATACTCTTGTCCTTATCCAGTCAATGTCGTCATAATAGCAACATGCGTGTTATTCTAATGTCTGAAACCTGCCTGGCCCCGCACGTTCCTAGGACTCCTTAAGTAACCAGGATACGACATCCCTGGAAACACGCTCGCAAGTGTTGCAGCACCACGCTTGCAATAGCTGACTACTTTAAAGAACCGTAACTTCTCACTGTTGTGTCTGCCTAACACATTCCCAAGCATAGGCTGTAATTGCGACCGCCTGCTTCGAGTTGATTATGTGCATGTAGGTACCAGCTATCTATTTGTGCTGCCTAAGTCAAACCATATTCTGTATTGGCACATTTGTTAACTCGGTGTGTGTATCAGTTCTATCAGATTGAATTTAGTGGGATAATGGGGTGGCCCAGTCGTTTATGGCGCCGTAATTCGCTACGCAGAATTGCGTCCCTTGGGCACACCAGACACCTATGATCATGGGCTTGAATCCCGGTTCGCCCGGATTATATTTCTAGGTTTGTCAGCACCATACCCGAGCTCGTGGGTTTCGTCAAGGTAAGTAAACGTCTGAGATCTGTTCCGGCTTTTCACCCGCATTAAACTGACATGCCGTGATATAACTGGAATACTGTTCAAAGTGGCGTTGCACCCGACTCACTCATTTACTCACTGATAAAGGGGAACAATTGTATCTCGTTACAATCAACATTTGTAAGAGGAAAAGTTTAATTGTTATTTGCAAGATATGCGATGATGCTCAACGCTACAACATTAAAATTCGGTGAGTGAGTGTGGATTTATGTTGATTTTAGAAATATTCCAAGAATATTATGTGACCATTGCGTGTGCGACGAATCCCAAAGGGACTCAGGTTGTAGACTCTTTTGCGAACGCAGCAATGGTACTACAAATCAATGTTCCTAATCAGGATGTACCTGATATCACAGCGTTTCAGTTTAATGTAGGAGGTAAAGCCTGATGCAGGTCTTAAACGTTTACCACTTCGCTGAACCCAAGCGAAGGGGTGTGGTACTGACATTCGTAGAAACCTAATCAAAGCAAAACGGGATTCGAACCCACGATCATAGGTTTCTGACACGATTAAACTTAGCAACTCAGCCTCAAACGACAGGGCAACCAGTACACCCAAGTGCCAATTTAAAATCACAGAAAGATTTATTGATACAATAAACATTACCCCTCAGAAAGTCTCTGGATCATCTCACCACAGATTTCTCATATAGTCACTTTATCATATAATATACCAAGAGCATAAGACAAAAAATAACAACCTGGAAATCTTTTTTAGAAAGCTGAAATTTTCTGGATACCTTCAAAAAGTCATACCCTGGCACAAAGTTTCCCAAGTTCCCCCTGGTGGTATTTTCAAAATGTCCGCCATTGTATTGCAAAATGATATGGAATTTTGAAGTTTTACATTCATGATATGCAATATATCAATTGAAAGCTTTTTTTATACACTTTCGCACAATACTTTAATCAACCTTGTGATATAATGAAGATTTGTTTTAAAAGCATTTGAAGAAATATTTAACAAGGTTTTTTTGGTGGAACACCCGGTAATAGTCAGGTTGGATTGTGATAAATACAATCTATGAAAGAAAACAATGTATGTCTGAATTAATAATACTTTAATCATCCCCTTGTGAATTTATAACCCTTTAAACATCCCCTTGTGTCAATACAAGAGTTATATTCTTTCTAACATAATAGTAGGATAGCCAAGTACTATTAAAAACAAACCCCTGGTGGAGTCGAAATGATACTAGGTCCCTAGGTGCTGTCCAGTGTCATTATACAGTGTCTCCTGCAAAGTAGTAAACAGTTCTGTCCACTTTGAGCAGTATTTGAACAGATGCATGTTAGGGATCGAAGTATCTGAACGCCGCTTTATATTTGCCTGTCGACCAAGATACATGTAATTTGTTTAACCAGTACCCTTGGCAATATCTCTCTACATCAATCGCAAATACGAATCTCGAGAATTGGTTGATATTCCGACGAGTTTGGCATTTGCAGATAAACAAAGGTAGTTCCAGCGTCTATACGATGCCCTAATCACAGATGATAAATCGTGTGATCTTGAGGGTGAGCTGGTAAATTTTACATTTGATGACGCCAGTATCAATGGGCAAACCCTCACAGGCAGTGGTACTGGGTGGTATGTGAAACATGTTTAGGGTGGTATTGCCACTAATCCAGGTCCTGAGGCAGTCCAGGCTCCTTCCCACGGTCTACCCAAAGGGTCATGACAGGTGCTTCTGCAGGTCAATTCGGTAAGGTTCCAGTAAAAGTACGCAAAAAACACACCACATCAACATTCAAGTCTATAAAGATTGGGCCTCTTGAACTTTCAAAGCCAATTGCACCTCTCCAGAAGTTACCAAAATGCTTGGATTGTTTCTGGTTAACAAGTTCCTCACTTAATAGACCTGTTTCACAACGTCCATCATGGAGTGGCTTTATGCAGTGAGCTGTAAAGGGAGACAATTATGAAAGAAAGTAAAATTCAGATTCTACCATTTGTAATCCAGGATCAATCCCAGCCTGACACCACCCTTTCGGCTTTGTGTTTTGCACAACAGCTGGCTGAAAAGTATTCACTTGGTGTTTGCCCTGTTACATTTGACCAGCCTCTCTACATCAAGGCAACCGAAATTGTGAAATCCTCTTACCCAGCACTGAGCAAGATGGTAATTCGACTTGAACTGGGATCGATTGGATATGTCATGAGTGTAAGTGGCTTAGAAGATATGTGGGCAACTGTCTATGCCCCAAACACTGTGATCCACATGATGACAGGTCATGCATATGCTCATGCACTCGGTGCTCATCTGCTGTCAACAGCAGCAAGCATGTCCGTTTGCTACAAACACAGTGCCTCAGTGGGGTGGATCCCACTCCTCTCATGGATGTTCACAAAACAGTGAATGACAAATGGACCACTGAGTGTGGGGTAAATGAGAAATCTGTCCACTTGCTCACAAGTGTTATGGAGAATCTGATGGAGAATACCTCGAATCAGTTGAACAGGGAAACTTTGGATTGGATATTTCAATCAAGTGTCCGTCATTCAACGTTCATTGGGATTTACACCTTCAGTCAGTCAGTGAAATGATTCCCTTATTTCATGCCGAAGGCCATCTTGCATATGCGAAATCTGCCCGCCTCTCCATTGACCAGTTGAAAGATGTTATTGATGTCATGTCTCCTGAGCAGTACCACAACTTCACTACCATTCGAAGAACAAAGAAATTCTTGCGTGGAAACCTTAGTGATCAGGCAATGGAACAAGATTTAATGCGATTGCTAAAGATCTCTGTAAGTATGACACGTGGTCGTGGAATCACAGACAGCACAATCGCCACGCCACGCCCCGATGCCAATGCATTACAATGTCACGCAAAGCACTACAGATGGGGTCATGTTGATAGCATCAACTGCAATGGATATTGTTGTTGCTGTTGTTGTTTGTGGTGGTGGTGCTGGTGGTGGACACAGATTCGATGGTAATGATGGTCGCACAAGCCACTCCAAGCATGGATCTCATATGATGTTTGGACGGAACCCATTACAAGTGTACAGTATCTCTGAAATTCAGGAAGCTTTTCACAGCATCAAACAGCACTAAGTGTTTGTACATGCAATCACTGGATGGGATATTGTGTCTGCACCTAACAATCAAGGGTAGAAGAAAGCTTTTGCACTGTTTCGTTGTACCAACAATTGGTGCTGTTTGAGTGTCTTCCATCGACCTGATTCTTCTTACGCTGAGATCGCAGAAGTTAGAGAGATGTTCCTTCTAAAGCTGTCTTGAGCTGTGGGGTCATGGTCACTGGACAAACATGGCTACAAGATGTACTTCAAATCCATTCATCGAGCAACCTTACCTTCATCTGGATCCAAGATGGAATCCCTCCTGTACCTGCCAAATTCCAAAGTAATTGGGCATATTATGCTGTACAACAATGGTAGGGAAACTATCACCCACAGAGATGGAGTGGCATAAAATAGAGGGGCTGCTTGTTCCCTGCTTGTTCCCTTTGAGACTGACAGATCTGTTGTTCCTCTGAAAGTCCTGAAGATGATAGTTTGCGTCTGCAAAGCAGGGATGCGGAAGCAATTTAGCGACAAAGCATGTCATCGAGATACAAAATGATGTCAATGGTTAAACTTCTACTTCACTTCAAGACGTGCTGATTCTACTAAATTATTCAGAAAATTGTTTCTCGATTTGTATCTCTGTACACATACTGCTCCAACTGTTTACTACTATGTAGCATCTCATGAACAATGCAATGAAACTGGACATACTTCCAAGGGACCTCATATCCACCAGGGGATTGATTTTAATAGTACTTGGCTATCCTACTATTGTGTAAGAACGTATTAAAACTCTTACATTGACATAAGGGGATGTTTTCTACGGTTTGATTAAAGTACTGCAAATTCAAAAATACTTTCTTCTTTTTCATAGATTGTTTTCATCATTTATCGTGTAATCCACAAAAAAACAGTTCAATAATTCTTCAAATGCTCATAAAACAAATCAAATTTAAATTACAAGGATCAAATATTAAATCAGTATGGTGATAAAGTGTATAAAAAGAGCTTTCATTTGATATATTGCATGATATCATGAGGGTAAAACTACAAAATTTCATATCATTTTCCAAAATAATGGCGGCCATCTTGAAAATGCCACCAGGGGGGGACTTGGGGAACTTTGTGCTAGGGTCATCAGTATGACCTACTGAAGGTATCTAGAAAAAAATCAGCTTTCTACTATATTTTCCCAGGTTATACCTAATGCTCTTGGCCTATAATAGGATGTGTCATGTGTGAGCAATTCTTCATTCCGTCAAAAATGGTATCACGAGCAGTAACTTCTCTAAATAGCTCCATCAATTTGATGCCTACTTGCTCGAAAAAACTATCTGTAACGTTCCCAACCAGTTAAGATAGAGCTTTCCCGATGTGAGACTGCCTCTACAAACATACAAGGATCTTCATAATCTGGCACTTTATGATAAATACTACTGTTTACTCAAACATTTTATTCACATGTTGTTCTCTTCTAAATGAAAATGCCTCTTAAGTGATAT